TCCCTTCCGACCCTAGAAACTATGAAACTATGAAACTTTGAGTTGGTGGGATCTGTGGGGGGGATTAGTATGATCAGGGGGCTGGTCAGTCTGCATGGGGAATTGATGAGATGGGGGGTTCTGGCAGGTCTGGGGAGAGGGTCTGCAGCAGGGGTTGCCTGTCTGGAGATGGGAGGATTGAAGGGCTAAATGTAGTCATGTGTGGGTGTTTGCACAACTAACAGTGCTAATATTGTGTACCACCCTGATTGATAATCACTAGTTTAGTTCCATCTTTTCTTTGATTTTCATCAGTGGCAATGTGTAGGGGGTGCACATGCACCGCCTGAGAGTGCTGATGCACCCCTTGATTGGCTGCGTTCGCCGCTAAGGCAATGGGCAGAGGGGGCAGGTGGAAGCACCAGTTCCCTCCTTTTAACTGCCAGCTGATCACTGCAGCTGCTCCCATAAATGGCGGCGGCCACTCCCAGAGGTGGCTGCAGTGATCGGACATCACGGGATCGGCTGCAGGGGGACCCTCCCCCTGCCATCGGTGGAACTGGTCACAGGGGCAGGGGCGCATGCCCCCCCCAACTAAGGCGGCACCAGATGCCCATGATTTTGATTATAATGTTTCTTTACTTGGCCTTATCTTTTATCTTTGTGTTAGCAGATTCAGCCAGAAAACTTTCAGGATTGTTTTGTAGAATCAGCATGTAAAATATTCTGTTTTCTTCCCAGGACTATTTATCATCTTCCAGCTTTCACTTACATTTAACAATATTGACTTTACTTTGCTCTTAACTGGTTTAATTTTCATTCCAAAACTATATTTCTGACTTCCAGGTATTGTTCAGTTGCATAAATGTTGCTTGTGCAGCTGGATATTTTTGTTTCTTGCTGTTTTGCTGGGTTTTGGATTCCAGGTACTCATACTTGTCTATTGGGTATTGTTAACAAACAATTGGTTCAGTTGTCTCTATGCTAATTTTTATTGTGCTTGTTTACTTGGTGTTGACGATTATGCACAATGTGTTTGTTCATAGTTGCTTCATTTTTATGTGTGCTCTATTGCTGGATAGAAGACAGATATCAGCAAAAGCTAGTTCTTCCAGTTTAGTCATTGTTGTCAATTTTGTGCTTGTGCTTTGCTGCCCTTCAATGGTTTTGCTAATTACCCAGCTAGGAGAAACAGTAGAGATGAAAGCATGTATCCTTTTTTGGCTGTTGATATTTCAAAGAAAAGTGATAATATTCCATTTACTATTATGTTACAACTGAAGCCATTATATGTAACTTTAGTAATGTTTACAAATTTGATGGGGATTCTATAAGTGCAGTCTTTTCTGTAGTGTGAATTTCCATTCAATATTTTGTTCTATTATACTTCTTGGTGTGAATAGAGGTTTAGTCATCCAATTAGCTCTCTTTGAACCAATTTGAACCCAAAGGACATTTTATACACATGCTCCAGGAGTGGGGGGAGGGGTGGGCGCTTTAATTAGATGGGCCAGTCTGTTGAGACCATTCACAACAGACTGGCCAATGGCAAAATCCTGAGGGATAGCCAGCATGGGTTTGTTGCAGGTAGGTCTTGCTTGACCAATCTTGTTACCTTTTATGACCAGGTGACCTATCACCAGGACAAGGGGGAAGAGTTTGAT